AGGTCTTCTAAACCAACATTGAAGACCTGGAGGTCTTCAAGACGCTATAGAAGACCTGGAGGTCTTCTATACGCCATAGAAGCCCTGGAGGTCTTCTATACGCCATAGAAGACCTGGAGGTCTTCTATACGCCATAGAAGACCTGGAGGTCTTCTATACGCCATAGAAGACCTGGAGGTCTTCTATTGTCCATAAAAGGCCTTGAGGTCTCCTATCGTCCATAGAATACCTTGAGGTCTTCTATACGCCATAGAACCCCTTGAGATCTTCTATATTCCATCGAAGACCTTGAGGTCTTCTAAATTACCATAGAAGACCTTGGGGTCTTCTATACTACCATAGAAGACCTTGAGGTCTTCTATACTACCATAGAAGACCTTGAGGTTTACTAAACTACCATAGAAGACCTTGGGATCTTCTATACTATCATAGAAGACCTTGAGGTCTTCTATACTACCATAGAAGACCTTGAGGTCTTCTATATTACCATAGAAGACCTTGGGTCTTCTAAACTACCATAGAAGACCTTGAGATCTTCTAAACTACCATAGAAGACCTTGAGGAATTGTCTTCGATATCCTATACAAGATCTGGAGGGTTTCTATAGCAAGCATTCTCCAATTCAAGTCTCCAATTTTTTATAGAAAATCTGAATGTGTTCCATTTTTAAATAGAAGATCAAGAGGCCTTTTTTCTATGAAATGCCTAGAGCTCTGCAATTCTCTATCCTAGACCTGGAGGTTATACTTGGAGGTCTTTTATTTTCTATAGATTTTCAATAGAAAGCCTTGAGATTTTTTATAGTCCATTAAAGACCTTGAAACCTTGGTCTCCAGAGTTCCTGAAGAACTTCGTAATTATTTGTTATTCCCCTAATCTGAAAAGATTTGAATCATGCTCATTTAATAAAAACGCCATACGCAATCGCTTACACGTTTGTTTTATCGCATTTCCGATATCTTTATTTCTCCCAAAAAATATACAACTGTCGAATATTTATTTAGCTGTCACCAGCCAGCCAACTGTGACATTATTGTTTGATGCTGAAGTTAACCAGCTAGGCATGTCGTTAGGGCAGCATCGGCCGTTGAAATACAAATTCGTGGGAAATTTCCGTAACTGTATATCGAGATAACAAAACGCAAAACGTTCTCCAATTTCGCAACGCATTTGTTTGCCAAAATGTTTGTTGGCAATCTATCGACAGTTTACAAACAAACACTTTCAAACCAATTTCATTAAAGATTAAGGCGAAGAGAATACAAATCGTTTTGAAATTATTTTTCAAACAACCGCAAAGAAGGTTGAGTACCCTCGAATGAGAACCACGTCATGCTGCTGCGAAAACAAACAAAATATTTAACGGAAAATCTCAAGGAGTAAAAATAAATATTGAAAAACATGATCGCACCTAATTTGAAGAACACAGTTTCTTGTGTGAAAATTAAAATACAATTTAACCGTGAATTTTTGTTTAGGTGTTCCGAAAAAATCCATTAACCGCTAATTAACCAGAAGCGCCAGAATGTATTCTGAGAACAAGAAGAACGTGCCAAGAACTTTTATAACTTTTGGATAAATAAATCCATGCAGTGAGGCACATGGCAACAACACTAAACTGGCTAATTGAAATGATTTTTACTTGGTAATAACCTTCAGGTCTTTTATAGAGAATGGTAAACATTAGGACAATCTAAATGAGAAAGAATACCATCAGGTCTTCTGTGGAGCATAGAAGGCCTTCAATGGCGTAAAAACGTTTTCTATGCCTCCAGGTCTTGTATAGACAATAAAAGACTTCAAGGACGTCTATAGACTATAGGTTACCTCCATAGACGATAGAAGACCTCCAGGTAATCCATAGACGGTGGAAGACCTCCAGATATTCTATACACCGTAAAAGACCTCCAGGTTTTCTATAGACTGTAGAGGACATCCAGGTCTTTTATAGACTGTAGAAGATCTACAGGTCTGCTATAGATAGTATAATACATCCTGCTCCTATAGAGGCAATAAGACCCCCAGGTCTTCTATAGACAACACAACATCTCCAGATCCTCTGTAGGCTAGAAGGTAAAAGACTGTCCAGGTTTTCTATAGATAGTAGAAGACCTCAAAATCATCTATAGACAGTAGAAGACCTGTAGAACACGTAGCGTTCTTTATAGCTAATATAAGAACGCTACGTGTTCTACAGGAAATAGAAGACCCCAAGGACATCTACAGACAATTGAGGACCTCAAGATCTTCTATACACAATAGAAGGCCTCAATGTCTTCTTTATCGAACTCCAGGCCTCTCCTATAGCAAATAGTAGACCTCCACACCTCTTATATAGCGAAAAGAAGACCTCCTCTATTGACAATAGAAGACTTTCAGGTTGTTTATAGAAAATAGAAGACCTCCAGGTCTTCTACAGACTGTGAAAGACCTGAAGATCTTCTATTTCCTATACATAGCAGAATACCTCCTGCCTGAAGGCAATAGAAGACCTCCAGATCTTTTATATACAATATAATACCTCCTGCTCCTCTATAGGCAATAGAAGACCCCCAGGTCTTCTATAGATAATAGAAGACCTCCAGGTCATCTGTAGACAATATAAAACTTCCAGGTCACCTATAGACAGTAGAACACCTTCAGGTCATCTATAGACAATAGAAGATCTTCAGGTCTTTTATAGACAATAGAAGACATCTAGTTCTTCTATAGACAGTAGAAGACCTGAAGATCTTCCATGTCGAATAGAAGACCTCAAGGTTTTCCACGGTGTGTATAAAACATCAAGGTCTTCTATGGACAGTAGAAGACCACCAGGTCTACTATGGATAATATAAGACCTCCAGGTCTTCTATGGATAATAGAAGACCTCCAGGTCAATAGATTACCCCATGGTCTTATGTAGACCGTAGAAGACATCCAGGTCTTCTATAGACAATAGGAACCTCCAGATCTTCTATAGACAATAGAAGATTTAAAAGACCTCCAGATTTTCCATGTCGCCTAGAAGACCTCTAGGTCTTTTATTTCGTCTCGAAGATCTCCAGTTCTTGTATGGTGTATAGAAGACCTCCAGATCTTCTATGGCCTATAGAGGAGGTCTCCTAGAGCTATTCTATAGCGAATAAAAGACCTCTTACACTTCTAGACCTCGATTTCTTCTATGGACTGTAGAAGACATCCAGGTCTTCTATAGATAATAGGAGACCTCCAGGTCTTCTAAGGACAAAAGATGACCCCATAGTCTTATATAGACAATATAAACCTCCAGATCTTCTATAGACAATATGGCGTCTAAAAGAGCTCCAAGTCTCCTATGACGTATAGAAGACCTCCAGAAGACCTTCATGTGTTCTATGGACAAAAGAAATCTTCTATGGCGTATAGAAAAACATCAGGGTGGGAAATAGGCAACAGAAGCCCTTCAGGTCTTCTATGGTTTATAAAAAAACGTCAAGATGGGGAATAGGCAATAGAAGCCCCCAAGGCCTTCTATAGCGAATAAAAGACCTCAAGGACTTCCATGGTGTATGGAAGACTTCAAACTGTTCTATGGCGTATGGAAGACCTCCAGATCCTCTATAGATAATAAGAGAGCCACAGAGTTTTGCTAGATCTTCTGTAGAAAATACAAGTCCCCTCTAGGTTTCGTTTCATAGAAAATAGTAAACCTTAAGCTTCTCCATAGGAAATGGAAGAAATCCAGGTTTCTTATAGAAAATAAAGGCATTCAGGTCGTCTATGGAAAATTAAGACTTTCAGGTTTTCTATTGAAAACAAAGGCTTTGAGGTCTTCCAGTTCTGAGGATCATTTTTATAGAAAAGTTACTGTTGGGGACCTTTTCTCAAATTGGATGAGATTCAGGGGACCCTTAAAGAAAGGATATTTTTAAGACCCTTTCTTAAGAAAAGGGTGTATCTGTAGGCTCTGCCTTAAAGGAAGGATATGTCTAAGTACGTCTTTTTCATTAATAATTGTATCTAAGAAAGAAAAATCCCTTTTAAATTCCTTTCTCAAAAAAGATAAATTTAAGATACCCTTTCGAAGAGAAGGTGTACTTCTTAATGAAGAGATTTCATTGATGAGTTGTGAATGAAAAGCAAAACTTTTTTCTCTCCATTATTTCAGCTTAGATTTGAATTCTATTTGAAATTCCCCTGATCCAAGCAATGCTTATCATGTTTCGTAGAGATGTTTTATTTTCTTCTTGTTTTTGTTGTTGTTGTTTTTTTTTGCAACAACAACGACAAAATCAAATATTTATTTTGTTGTACTCGTCGACATTTTTTTTTTGTTTTTTTTTCTTTTTTGGATTATTTATTTTGCATTTTTTCGCACTTTTATTTATTCAATATCAATAACGAAAAATATATAATTTTATAGTTTCCTCTTCACAGGTACGCTTCATTGTAGTTTTGCATTATTTCTTATTAAATAAATATTCAATATTTTTTGTTGTTATTACTATTATTGTTGTGCATTTTGAACTGAACAACATTTCGTAAATTCCACATGGACAATTTGAAAATTTTTATTATTGTTATTTTTGCGGTTGTTGTTATTGCTGTATTGAAATAGCGCATTTTTGTGCGTTTTTCAGATGTTGAAAAAAAAACAATTTCCTCGCAGCTAATTTTTCATATTTTTTTTTATTCAATTTTTTCTGTTGTTGTTATTGTCGTTTTTAGTTATTTTTACAATTCTTGATCGACATTCTACACTTGGTGTTGTTGTACAACATTTTGCGTTGAGGTGTCGAGTTGTTGTTGTTGTTGCTGTTGAATTTCATTGTCAGCAGCAAAACAACCGAGCGACCGACCGGTGGCTTAGTTGTGTCCGTTTGAATGTTGTCACTTGGCTGCTGATTTATTTTGTTTTAGCAACGAGAAAAGAAAAACAAAATTTCGAAAAAATACAAAACAATTTCAAACATTTCTTTCTTTCGAAAAATTTTCAGAATTTTTTTTTTCTCAAAATTTTCTTTGTTTCATTCACTCACTTTCAGCAACGCGAAATTCTTTCACTTAATTTACAAAATAAAAAAATTTTGCATTTTTGCATTATTTAATTTCTATTTTTTATTTATTATAACTTTTTTTTCTCTCTCTCTCTTTTCGAAAATAATTCAATACCAATTCAACACAATCGGATTTTGATTGGAAACGCCTGAAAACAAATTTGCATTGACTTCTTTTTTTCGAATCGAAAAGCCAACAAAAAGTCAAAGAACGAGTTTTTTACATTCGTCGTTCACCCAAACAAACAGAACAGAATTTTCGTCAACGAAACAACCGAGCGACCATCGACGATTGACATACGAATGAAACCGTCCGTTAAACGCTGCGATCAATGAGAACGTTCGTTAGAAACTGAAAATTTTTGTTGTTTGGCGGTGTTGCGATTGTGGGAGAGAGAGAAAGAGAGAACGATTTGTCATACAAAATGAGTGGGAGAGCGGCGGGCACATATAGAGTTGCATAGAGTTGTTGGCCAAAAGCAAAATTCACTCAAAACAACAAACATGTGCTATTCGTTGAGAATAGGGCTGCTAAGCTTCGTTTAGAGGAAAAAATGGTTAAATTTTAAAATGAATTTATCAAAACAGGAATTTTTGAGAGTTTTTAAATTCTTTATCAAACTTTAGAAAATAAATTCTGAAAAAATAAATAGATATAAAAATTTCTCTTCGAAAAATGTCCCAAATTTCTTCGAAAGAAAAAATAAAACAACACAACAATCTATCCGATAATTATAATTCTGAAGCATGCTAACATAATGAGCCTCTTAAAAGCTTACAAATTATTTACACGACAGTGTCCATATGGAATGGAATGTGTCGATGAGTCCATATTTCTAAGGCAAAATATACAGGGTGAGTTAAAAAAAACTGCAACAAGTTAAACGCCATAAGTTTTACATTTTTTTTTTTAAATTTTATTGAATGAAAGCAAAAAATGTCGGAAATAGCATCAAATTTTAGAATGACTTTAGATTCGTTCGAATTGGTCACCTTTGGCACGAATTATGGCCTTCAAACGGCCAATGAAACCGTCACACTCTGCCCGAATGTTGCTTTGCGGTATTTTGGTCCATTCCCGCCGAAGCGCTTGTTTGAGGTGATCGACATTTTGGCATTTTTTAGGGCCAACCATGCTTTCCAAAATTCTCCAGACACAATAGCCCAACGGATTGGTATCCGGAGATTTTGGTGGCCATGGTGCGCTGAAACTTCAGACTGCTGTCATTTCTAAGCCACTCGTCCGACAGTTGTTAAAATTATTCCGATGATAGCTCACTATATTGTTTACAAGCGTACAAAAGCATTTTGGTAAGCATTTTCCAGAAAAAAAGTTATTCGTGATGGAATTCAAGCGCGATAGTGTGATTTCTTTATATTTGGCTGGAAAACCACAAGTGACTATCGTTAGAGCACTCCAGCATTTAAATGTAAATAAATCTTTTGTGTCTCGTACCATCGCCCGTTACTGTGATACTGGTAGAGTAGTCCGACCGACGTCAAGGAAGTGGACTTAAGAAAACGGCAACATCAGCAGAAACGGTTCGAAAAGTAAAGAAGCGACATGATCGGAAATCCGCATCGCAGTTGCCGAAAAATGGCTCGTGAGCTGAACATATCGCAATATTCCATTCGGTAAATATTGAAAAATGAGCTCGGGATAAAGCCATTGAAATTTCAAAAAGTGCAAGAACTTATTCTCAAAGAGCTAAAGAGTTGCTTCGCTTGGCCGAAAGTTGTGACCTACCGAATTCTGTTTTCTCCGATGAGAAAACATTCATTGTCCAGCTGTTTGTAAAGAAACAACAAAACAAAATTATAGTGTTTTATTGCCAAAGAGGTCAGCTGAAAATGTGCACCTTCGGTTGGCCGGCCACCAGAACTCAAGCGCCGGCCATAGTAATGGTGTGGGCCGCCATAACAGCCGATGGTCGTTCTCCGCTCGTATTAATCGACCGTAACATCAGAAGAAATGCCGAACATTATCGCGAAAATATTCTGGAGGGTGTATTAAAGCCTTGGGCACGCAAACATTTTGGCCGCAGACCTTGGACATTCCAACAGGACTCAGCATCATCGCACTCAGCACGCGCCACCCAAGAATAGTTACAGAAATGAGGCTCCTCGCTTCATTTCCAGCTCACAATGACCACCAAAATCTCCGGATACCAATCCGTTGGACTATTGTGTCTGGAGTATTTTGGAAAGCAAGGTTGGCACTAAAAAATACCAAAGTGTCGATCACCTCAAGCAAGCGCTTCGCCGGAAATGGGCCAAAATACCGCAGAGCAACATTAGGGCAGCGTGTCACAATTTCATTAGCCGTTTGAAGGCCATAGTTCGTGCCAAAGGTGACCAATTCGAACAAATCTAAACTTAGTTTATAATTTGATGCTATTTCCGACATTTTTTGCTTTCATTGAATAAAATGTAAAAAATGGGATTTTCAAAAGATTAAAAAATCGGAATTTATTTCGCAATTGATGAGAGATTAGGACTGGTGGGGAAGAAGGGGTTTGTGGTACGAAAATCTGTGGTCCTATACAAGCACGTATGCAGGGAGGAAGCATAGTTTGGAGTTGTTTGATGTAGGTACCAGCAGGAGTGGTTTGATATGGCCCATCTTCGCTCTAGATCTAGTGCTTCAGATTGCACCTAGGATTGTTTGGCTTTTTTATACATTTTTGAAATGTTTACTATTTTTGGGGCACAAGAAGAGCAGACTGAAATTACTCATTTTCGACCTTGATCTAAGTTTGACAATGATATAAGGATGCATCAAGTTTGAACCGATTCTCTTCTTCGAGAGTTATTGTCTGAAACCGACATCCACCAAATAAATATTTTTGCCATATATAACCTCTTAGACATAGTACTGAGAGTATAAATATAATTAATTTAAAATAAGCATGGTAACCCTAGTAGAGAGTAATGTTAACAAGTGAGTGAACTGTGGGAGCATAACATTTGTATTGTGAGTTTGTCAAAATAATTATACTCAAAAGTGGGAGCATGGTGTTGGGGGGTCTCTGCAAAGCTACCAAAACAAATGACTAAACAATCATTCGCCACCGCCGGTAAGCAATAATAAAGCTATCCCATACAAGATGGCGCTGAAATGTTTCAACAAATTTCTATGTGGTGATCACTGATTTTGAAAGTGGCGCCCAATCGAAATGAAATATTTAGATGAATTTTAATTCTTCAAAATATAGATGACAATCTATCTATCTTCAGAGGGTGAGATAAAAAACTGCAACAATGTCAAACGCCATAGTTTTTAGATTTTTTTCTAAACTTTATTGAATGAAAGCAAAAAAATGTCGGAAATAGCATCAAATTTTGGAATAAGTTTCGATTTGTTCAATCGGTCACCTTTGGCACGAATTATGGCCTTGAAACGGCCAATGCAACCGTCAGACGCTGCACGAATGTTGTACAAAGACTAGAACGAACTGGTCGAAAGACCAGAACAAGCTTGTCGAAAGATCAGAACGAGCTGGTCGACAGACCAGCCTGGTTGATCTGGATGCCCCAAAGATTTTATTTTTTAGACAAGTTGGTCTGGCGGGCCACCGGGTCTATTTCCACAGACGAGTTGTGGTGGCGAGCCAGCGGTTGCGGTATAACTTCTCGCACTGTTTGGAATTTCAATCGCTTTACCCCGAGCTCATTTTTCAATATTTGTCGAATGGAATATTGCGATATGTTTAGCTCTTGAGCCATTTTTGAGCCATTCGACTGCAACGCGGGTTTCGACCAAGTCGCTTCGTTACTTTTCGAACCATTTCTGCTGACTTGATCCTTGACGTCGGCCGCGCTACGCTACCAGTATCACGGTAACGAGCGATGCTGCGAGACACAAATATATATTCACATTAAAATGCTGGAGTGCTCTAACGATAGCCGCTTGTGGTTTTCCAGCCAAATATAAAGAAATCACACTATCACGCTTGAATTATATCACGAATAATTTTTTTTTCTGGAAAATTCTCACCAAATGCTTTTCTATTCTTGTAAACAATATAATGAGCTGTCACTGGAATAATTTTAACAGCTGTCGGACAAGTGGCTTAGAAATGACAACAGTCTGAAGTTGGTTGTAGTTTTTTCATCTTACCCTGTAGAAGGGTGGAAGTCTTCTATTACGTCAGTCTTTAATGAAAACCTAGTATTCATAGACAAATATAAGTCTTCTGTTTCTAGATGGCCTTTAGAAGTTATTTAATTAAAAAAAGAACTAATAGGAGGCCTTCTATGTATGAAAATCCTATTATAGCTCTTCTGTAAAGAGCAGCCTTTCTGGAAGACGTTTTGTTATAGAATAGAGAAAATCTATAAAAATTAACAGCTACGAGATCGACTGCATGCATTGAAGGCTTATTTTTATAGGAGTCTTCGGAAAAATCTTTAATACATAAAAAGAAGACCCTGTACCTCTAGGAAGTCTCTATACCGATTACTTACAAATATCTAGAATAGTTGTTTTCTGCAGGCATTTTTCAGTGGAAGGTCTTCTTTATAATTTTTGAAAATAGAAACCCTTTTTATAGACTTTCTCTCTCAATAATACCGGATTAACGAAAATCCAGATCTTAACGAAATCCTTCACCATTTTCACTTTCTTTACCATTCAATTAAAACATAATTGCCTTACGGCAACTAATCACTGCATAAATTATCACCTGTTACATACGTCTCGCTTTGCGTTCTCTCTTTTCAATTCCTAGCTTGGGCTTGAACTTTCTCGTATATTGGCCCATAGTACGCGCAACAATACTCTTGAAAAGATATCCAATCAATTTCCTGTATCCTTGAATTATCTACAAATCGCATTAGAGACTATTATCCAAAAAATCCAAAAAAAAAAAAAAAAAGGAAAAAAAAAATCACTCACTCCATAACCACCAGTCTTTTCGCCAAGGCAAGAGTAGTGACGGAAACATTCACTTATGCGCTGCTTCCTTTTTAGTTTTTCACAACCCGCTTCCCATGGGAAATGGCCAGGCAAATATAATCAATCATTTAATGATGCTTTTAACATATCATCGTCGTCGGGTAGTTTATTTTAGTTTCGTCGGATGTTCATATGACAGTCAGACAGGCTTTCATAATCAGGCAAACTGTAATGAAACGATGTTGTTGTGTTTGTGCGTTTAATGTGAATATGTTTGCCATCATTTGACGGTAACACCGAGAGATAAGTCAAATACAGACTTAGCTGCTGAGCAACAATTTCAATATGTTTTTGAAAACGTGATAATATTTCATTCAATACATCTAATATTTCATTTCGATGTAATAAATGGAAGACTATTTTAAAGAAAAAGAATCCAAAACATGACAAACACATTTCA